GCCAATTGAATATTTTGTGTTTAAAAAATGTATATCCCAAAAAACCTCAAAATGCCCTAATCTGGTGAGAAACACGCAGAAAAGTAAAAATTTTGATTTTTATTTTTCAAATATTTTCATCAAATTATTTTACCTGCAGTAACTGTGTGTCAATAAAGTAATTGTGCCAGAATGCCACCTAGTGACCCTGCACCCTCTACAAAGCTCAGACTGCTGCACCATTTATGAGACCAACTCACTGTTGTTGGTGCAGCTGCTTTTTCTACAGCTTTTAACCAGCAGCAGCAACAGCTGGAAAGACTGTGGATCCGTCTGGCCCAGTAGAACACATGTGGTGGGAAACTGATATTTATCTGTGTGGTATGGAAGAGCTCCTCTGGCTACTGCTGAGTCCAGACACACACACACACACAAACACACACGCACACAGGACATTGTGTCATCTGCATAGACAACAAGAATCTTGTTGTGAAGACAGCAACAGTCTTTATATGTTCAGAGTTTTTATGATGATGTTTCCACTGTGACAACAAATGTGGAATAAGAATAAGGTAAGGTTTTTGATGTGTTGTATGTTTGTGACCTGACAATGTTAGGGGACATTGGCTGTTATTTGATGATGATAATAATAATGATTAGTAGTAGTAGTAGTAGTAGTAGTAGTAGTAGTAGTATTGCTGTTGTTGTTAAATTAATTTTAGCTTATTTTGTTGTATTTTTAACTTCATATAATATATATTATTACCATTATGTGTGTGTATGTAAATGAAAGAGAGAGAGAGAGCGAGAGAGAGAGAGAGAGAGTATTTATTTATTTAATAGATATAATATGAAGCTGATTTTCTTTGTTTATTTTTGCCTGGTTGAATAAGACGGTTATTAAAATTAAAAAAAAAAAAATAGATAATATATTTGTATATTATGTATATATTTTAATTGTTAGTAATTCATTGACTTTTTAAAGACATGTTCGCTAGCTGTTGTTATGATTTATAAAATTGTAAAAATAAAATAATAAATATTTTGATAAAATATATTCATAATTAGTCATAACTTATTTACTTTCACTATTCATCATGACCTCATCAGAGAAACTTTTAGCTTGTTATCTTCCTCCACACCTCTCTTCTCCTCCTCCCCCCTTGCTCTCCTTTTTTCCTCCTCCTCTCCTGCTGTCACCTCTCAGAGCCTGTCAGCATCAGGCCAGCTTGCATTTTAATTTGGCCCTGAAGTTACTTATTTCATTATCGATCATCCGTAATGCTGAATCAATGTTCATCTTGTTTCGTGGGCCATACCCGTGTAATACAGTGATAGTGGGGCCCAGAGTTACTCATTCCCTTTACAAAGTGACTTTACCATAAAATCAATGATTTGTGTTACTGATACAGGAGTAACTGCAGCAGATGGAGCAAGGGTGAGTGGGCAGAGTGGAAACAATCCAGAAACAAACAAAGAAATAAATTCACAATGGATGCAAAATTGACTAACGGATGAAGGCATAGGAAATATCTACAGTCCGAGCTGTGGGTTGTTATATACTTGTTTAATCCATGTTTATTTACTGAGGTGGAGTCTAACAATCCTGGCTTATTTATATGGTTTTATGGATCAATTACTGTTGCGAGCCATATACTATAGATACTAAATAATTTGAAGAGGCTTAGAATGGCATACACACTTAGCTAAAGCACATCTCTAGACACTGTGTGACTAATAGTCAGCTGCAGGTAAAAAATGTGTTTACTTGAAAGCATTAATCGCACAACAATGAGATTATCACGTTAACACAAGGACCTTTACTTTTTTTTTCTCTTGTCCCAAAATCTGGTCTTAAAGGGACAAAAGTCCTTGAGTTTAAAAATAAATGTACTCAGTGCAAAGCCCTTGAAAGGATATCTACACAATACTATTCAAGGGTTAGCCACAAAGTTTGAGGACAATTTTCAATTTTTGTGTTTGAATTGACTATGTTAAAAAAGGTGATCTGAGAGGCTTTGGTAAATTTTGTAATCAGAGCAAACATCATCAACAGCAAAAAAGAACAGAAGTTTGCAATTGGGTGTGTTCTTATTCCTTTGTTTAGATAGATCCACTTTTTTTTCATCCCAGGCTGAGAAATTACTCGAATAACAAATACATTTCATTGCTGTCCAAGGGTTTTGAGCTCACAGTCTCCTGCACCATTGTCAGAGGGGCATTCCTCAGGGCTATAGTGCTATAGATAAAGGAAAAGAAAGGAAAGGAACACGGTCTGAACCACTAGACAAGGTAAAGAAGCAGGTAAATAAAATGTATCCTGGAATTCTCCAAACAAGGAATTCTATTATGGAAAAACCACGAGGAATATAGAAAAAATGTCTGTTGTTTTCAGAAATAAAGACTTTTTTGACAGTTTGTTGAATAACTTTCAGTTCATATTATGACCCCAATGAACATATGGTCTTATAAAGTCTTATAAAATATACAGAAGGTTAATGAATGAAATGTAAGTTACTGAGTGTCTGTTTGCATCTATTGTTCTGAGCCTGACTGTTTAGTGCATCTCCCACAATCCACAATCCACAAGCTCATCCAGAAAGACTGGTTGTTTAAATTAAACAGGCAACACCCTGAAGTTAACAAGTAATGGGAAGCATGTGCAAGGTAATGCATTAGTTCACACTTTGATCTACTGTCATAATCCAGTTTAATAAGTTGCAGTCCATTGACTATTAATTTGCTTCCGAACCGAATGGGCAGGAAGAACGGCTCCAAAATGCTTTGCTTTGCTGCTAATGCAAATCATTGTTGGGCTATCTGTTTAATATGCATGATTGGTTGGTGTAATGTAATTAAAATCACACTATTGAAATTACTAGAAGAGTTAAAAAAAACTTTAAATGTATTTTCAAAGTAGTCTTGCTTTTGCTACTAGGAACAATTAATTTTGGAAACTAATTCATTTATTGGATTAAGCTTCAATGTTCTTAAAACACTGTTTGATTTATTGGCTTTTTATTTCACCCTAATGGGACATGACTTTGAAAAGGCATATTTAGTGATTGACTGTGCACAGTTTGTTATTTGATGTTTGCCCGTTCCATTGAAGGAAACATGTATTATTATTATTATCATTATTATTATTATTATTATTATTATTATTATTAGGAAGCAGGTGTATTTTTAACATGTTAAAAATAACATTTTTTCCAGTGAGGTACTGTTGTCTGTAATGTAATTCTATTTAATTTATTTAATTTTAAAGATATATCAAATATATAGTGGGTTATATATCTGACTTCAGCTGACCACTAGCGTTTCTTGATTATATTGAAAAAGCTGTAAGTCACTCTGCTGTGCTGTACCGTATATCATAATTACAGCAGCAATTTCTGCTCATGAAAGTGAAAATGTGGAAGTGTGGCGAGTCTAAAAAAAAGCTAAGGAAGAGAACCTTCCAGGAAAAAGCGTATAGGCTTCCAAAAGAAATCTGGAGTTCCCGCCATTTTTCTCTTTCTCATTATCTAATGCTTGTGTCGTTATTTTAATCCAGATCACAGGTTTTCTGCTCAAAATTGTTGATCAGTGGTGGGCTTCCCCGAAAAACCGATATGTGTTAACAGGATCAGTGTGAAGCTTATACTTTGTAAAAGAAATATCTCGAATGTTTTTATGCAGATAATAATAATAATAATAGTAATGATAATAATAATTGCATGTTCGTATACTCTGTGGATGGTGCATAAATGTTGTTGTGTGTTTGTGTGTGCTTACGGAAGTCAGCAAGGACTGTGTTTAGTGTTTACCAATGGCACTCTCTCTCTGTGTGTGTGGAGGGGGGGGTTTAAGAGGTGGGGGTCCCTTAATGCTTTTATGGCCACGCTAGTTTCTCGGCTCCATGTGTGCAGTTGGTTCGTTTGGTTTGAGGCAGTAAATCAGACACGGCCCGGTCCTTCTGTTTGCGTAGGTGGAGTGGACGCAGACGCGAGGAGCCGTGGGCCCAGGGACGAGACACGTGTCCATCAGGACCCAGAGCACAGCTGAGAGCGTGGACAGAGGCAGACTCTCGGAAATAAACTCTCTACTTGTAACGTTTATGTCCATACAACCTCTCTCTCTCTCTCTCTTTCGCTCTTCCTCTCTCTCTCTCTCTCTCTCTCCACTCCACATTCACTATCTTTACTTCTCTCACTTCACTATCTTGGCCCCCCAACACACACACTCATACAGCCACAAACGTGTGTGTGAGAGAGCGCGTGCGCAAAGTGTGTGCGCACTATTGACTGCTATGTAGTGATTACCATTCCGGTCGGATGGCACCAGCAAGCTGCTGTAATTAATAACCTCATAATCCGGGTTGGGGAGGATGTCGGCAGAGAACACACACAGACTCAGGACAGAGTGGTGCAGAAACAAGGCGTCTCCTTATTCCTAAGAAATTACAGTTGCTATTATCCCTCCCAGACAATGATAACTATCTGCTCCAAAAGGGAGATTAAGGGTTTATACAAGGAGAGAGAGAGGGAGAGAGAGGGAGACAGAAGCAGATCACATTATCAAAACTAAACTGAGATTGATGAGATTTCATCTCGCTGTCAAGAATACAGTCGGACTTATAATAACGCATTCATATAAAGTGCATGAAATAATAATAACTCAATCCCCGCAGTTGTTTTGCAAACGATTAACAAAGCAGATGCTGCTGCGGAGCCGCGTTGAAATGCGATTAAAGTTGTCCCTCGCACACTGTTGTATATTGATTCGAGGAATTTCAATTTGGACTCTCCTGTTTGGCCTTTAATCCGCATTATTTACATGACAGATCAGGTTGCAAAAAAAATTATAAAAACGATTTTTTTCTGAGGTGAGGTCTGATCCCGGATCATCCTTTAGTTGAAAAAAAAACTTAAGGAAATATCAGCAAATTATTTTAACCATTTATCTACATTAACCCACAAAATAATAATGATAATAATGATAATAATAAATACGTTGATGTTTATTCTGCCCCACGCAATAAACATCCTCTCAGCCCAATCCACTAAAATGTTTATTACTTATCATCATCGCCACTTTACACTCACTCCTTAGAAACAATGTAATGCGCCGATCATCAGCTCAGCCTTTGAAGGGAAGTGCCTCCACGCCACCTCTTTTGATGTCTCAAATTAAAGAATGAAGTGGCAGAGATTCCACGGCCACAGGAGCCCACGACACCTCAGAGCCGGTGTGAGGAAGCTCAGCTTTCAGCCACACGGAGGAATTCTAAAGCTGCCTTGAACGTGCGATCCGGGCTCATTATTCCAACAGGAATAGAATATTCATCCCTTTGTAATTAAAAAAGATATATATAATTTTCAGTTCAATTTCTTAAGTTAATGCAAACGATATAAATAGATTTTAATCAATTAAAGAATCGCTCAAATGCTTAATTTACAGAAGATAGATGTTGGCATTTTTCACTAACAGAGAATATATAAATATTTATTTTTTTTATTTTTTTCGGGTTCTAAACTTTGTTAATGTAACCTGTTCATTCAGATATTTTTCTCAGCTCATCTCTTAAAGACCCGATTCCAGTTTTGTTTTTTCCAACAAGCCACTTTCATTCTGTCGAAGAAATTTCTTAGTTAATTAAAAACAAACGTTTATCGGTCATAAAGTCACTGTTGAAGACAGGAGCCAAAATTTGCGTAGTTGTGAATTAACCCAGAAATATAGCTGCATAAAAGACCTAAAAAGAGATCAAATCCAGTCACTAAGTAAGATTTGAAACTCCATTCAAATAAAAGTCAAGCGACGTCGGCGCACTCACTCCACAGAGGAGGGCAGAGAAAGAGAGAGAGAGAGGGAGGGAGAGAGAGGGAAGTTGATGTGCGTGTGTGTATGTGTGTGAGAAAGAGAGAGAGGGAGAGAGAGAGAGGGAGAGGGTGAGATTTGAGAAATAGGAGGGGCTTCTAAACGACTAGAAATGTCAATCTGAGCAAGGGAGTCCCAATAATCTAAGGCAATCTGTAAGGACCTGACCTTAGTCCATCCAGATCAATAGGGAAGTGAGGGTGGAGAGAAGAAGTGCAGAGGGAAGAAGCGGGGCGCAGGCGGATCGTCCACACTGGCTCTTGTGGAGGAAATATAGACTTCCCTCTCTGGCACCTTTTGTTGCTCACATGCTCTCACTGTAACAGTGGATATCGAGGCTATTCCCTTGCTTTGTGAGATTGCAGCAGAGCCGAGCGCCTTTTCCCTCTCCCCTCTCGCCCTGCCACCATGTCTTTCCCTCAGCTGGGATATCAGTACATCCGACCGATATACCCGCCGGAGCGCCAGGGGATCGCCAACAATGCCCGGGCCGCGACAGAGCTCAGCCCGTCCGGCGCACTCTCCAACGTCCTCTCCTCCATGTACGGATCTCCTTTCGCCGCCGCAGCGCAGGGCTATGGAGCGTTTCTGCCCTACTCCAACGATATATCAATTTTTAACCAACTGGTGAGTTTTCTTATGCCTCTTCTCTGTCTCTCACTTAAAAAAAAAGTTGAACTCAACTTTAAAAATAATAAATAAACTCGTCAAGTGTCCGGCCCTGTCGGAGACTTCGACTCGCGCTGTTAAAGTAAGAACTTGTCCGTGCGCAATCGTCTTTTTCTGGAGTTAGTTGAAAAAGTTGAGTTGAATGTGGTTAAAAAGTAACACATTAACACAGAATGTGCTGGACTTTACTGTTAGAAGGTACTTTCATGAAACTGGTGACGGAAATGAAGACGGTGCGGTGTTTACAGGTAAAGATGGAGAGCTGAAAGTTAACCAGTCTTCTCTAAAGTGTTTCATTCGAGAGGAGAATTTATAAGACTGATATTTAGACTAAAAAAAAAACATAATTAAGAATTTAAATTGTAGGAATATCTTCAAATAATTTAAGTTTTTTTTATTTGTTTACACTTCGGTTAAGTCCTGATCTGTGTCAGTCAGCTCAGGTGAATCCTGTTTTTTGTGTTTAATTTCAAACGAAAACTACTTTGTGGTGTTTATATTATAATTCTAATGTTTTCCTGTCCTCTGTGATTCCTTGTCTCTGCAGGGTGCTCAGTATGAACTGAAGGACAGTCCCGGTGTCCAGCACCCAGGGTTTTCCCATCATCACCCCGCTTTCTACCCATATGGTCAGTATCACTTCGGTGACCCGTCCAGACCCAAAAACGCCACCAGGGAGAGCACCAGCACCCTGAAGGCCTGGCTCAGCGAGCACCGCAAAAACCCTTATCCAACTAAGGGCGAGAAAATCATGCTGGCCATCATCACCAAAATGACCCTCACCCAGGTCTCCACCTGGTTCGCCAACGCCAGGAGGAGGTTAAAGAAGGAGAACAAGATGACCTGGACCCCCCGGAACCGCAGCGAGGACGAGGAGGAGGACGAGAATATTGACTTGGAGAAAAACGACGATGACGAGCCGAACAAACCCATAGACAAGGGGGAGTCCACAGACACAGAAGCAGGTCGGTGGTGCAGGCAGAAACAGTCTGTGTGTGTGTGTGTGTATGCGCGCGCGCTCGCGGTGTGTGTGTGTGTGTATGTCTGGGTGAGTGAGTGAGTGAGAGGAAAAAAATGAAAAAAAAACATCAATTTTTCATCGCAGTCGTTTCCACTCTGGGTGCAAAATTGATTGCTGCTTAATGGTGGTGTATTATTTATAATGGGACAATTGCTTTAAATAATAATCACCTTGAACTCCCCTCGTTTGACTTCTCGGGAGCAGAAATTGCTGGTGACGCACATTGTACAGCAGTCAATTTATCTTCAAGTGCATAATAAGAATACAGCTGGTGTACTGCACTGTACTGCCTTAAAATACTGTTATATTAACCGTGTAATTAGTGTTGAAAACGTACACACACACACCATTGTTTACATTTATAATTGTTTATATTTTATATAAAACAATTTTTTTTAATTTTTAACACATTGTTTTAAAGGAAACCATTTTAAGTGGCCTGATTTTCCTTTTTTTTTTTTTCATAGCTCTCACTCTATTTTTCCATGGTGTCCACTTGCCTTACATTACCTCAAACATGTGTTCCAGGGATTATTTGGCAGTAATTCCGTTCTTTATTTGTGCTTTAGATCATAAACTGTCGAACCAAGGGGACACAGGCCGTG